ATAATATATATTGACAATTACTCACTACTAATTGTCAGTTATCTATCTTTAATTATTAATTACTTATTTCTAATTAGAATATTTTTTTATTTATTATTTTAAAAATGTCTACTAGTCCAAATACTCCTGAAGAATATAGTGAAGAAGAAAATTTGCAAATGCAACTTGATGATGATATTTATATCAGTGATTTAGATGATGATGATAATATTGAAATTGAACAAGATAAAGAAGAAATTTTACAAAGTTTACAAAATTTAAGTTTTGAAGAAACAGCTGCAATAAATGAAGAAAATTTGAATAAAAATTTAGGATTAGCTCAAAAAGTTAAATTTTATAGTAGAGTTAAATCAGATATATAGAAATATATAAATAAAGAAACTTGAAAATGTTTAGAATGTTCTAAAATATTTAATTTAACAACAGCAACTACTTCTATTCATATTTATTTACAACAGCAACATAATTTATTATTAGAAAAAGAAAAATTAAATTTTATAATTAAAAAATATTCAGTAGAAATTCAAGCAGAAAAACTCAAGCAATTTTTGAATAGATTATCTTAGTTCTTAAACTATTTAAAGTAATAGAAAATAAAGCTTTTCAAAATATGATTCATAAATTTGATCTATTTTATCAAATTCCTAGTCATAAAATTATTAAAACTTTAGTTATTAATTAATTTAATCATCAAAGAACTTTGATAAAAAATTATCTTAGTAAAATTTCAAGTAAAATTGCTCTTACAACTAATTTTTGGATATCTTTAAAAATAGAAAGTTTTATAGTTATTACTATTCACTTTATTGGTAAAAATTAGAATTTATAGTATTTTGTATTAGATATATTTCACTTTAAAGGATCTTATACTAGAAAAATTATTGCTGATAAACTATATAATTAACTTGAAGAATTTGAAATTGAAACTAAAGCTATTGTATTAATTACTGATAATAGTTTTAATATGATTTCTGCTACAAATTTTTAACAAGATAAGTTAACTGATTTTTGTTATTATAGATGTATAGTTTATATACTTAATTTAGTAGTTTTAGCTAGTTTAAATCTTTTAGATAATTTAATTAAAAAATTAAGAAAATTAATTAAAATAATTTGTAAATCATCTAAAATTTTTGAAGATTTAAAAAATATTATAACTTTAGATGATAAGCCTTTTTTAGCTCCAATTTTGAATTGTAAAACAAGATAGAATTCAACTTATCAGATAGTTAAAAAAGCTTATTTACTTTATTAATTTATAGAAATATTAATAGTTAAATATTCAAATTTAAAAACTTATATGCTAAATGAAGAAGATTAGAAAATTTATAAAAATTTAGTTGATTTATTAGAACAATTTAATGAAGCTACTATTGAACTTTCATCACAAACTTATCCAACAATAGCATATATATAAATAATTTTATTTTCTCTTAGAAATGATTTAGAATCTAAAAAAGATATAAATTTTTTATTACATTATATTAATAATACTATGTTATATAAATATATTGAATATTTTAATTTAATAACTGAATTATTACATATTTTTGCTTTTTTAGATTCTAGATACAAAAAATATTGCTTTCCTAATATTACTAATGAAGAGATTCTAATATCAATTAGACAAAAAATAAATCAACAATTACCTTTACCAATAATTAAACCTAAAAAACTATTAAGTTTTTATTAAAAATTAAAATATACATTACAACCAAACTGAACAATAAATAATAAAGTTCAAAAATATTGGTTATATGCAGAAGCAGATAAAACTATAAAACTTTTGAATTGGTAAAATACTCATATAGCAGAATATTAAATACTTTCAGAACTTACTCATAATTATTTGTGTATTCAAGCTAGTTCAGTTCTATGTGAACAACTTTTTTTAATTGCAGATCAAATAATTAATAAATCAAGAAATAGATTAAGTAGTAAATCTGCAAGAGCATATTTATGTCTACATAGTTAGTTACTAAAAAATATAAAATAATTTTATTATATTTAAAAATATTATATATTTATTTTATATATTTTAATATATATTTATTTAA